TAAAGGAAAAAGAGATTTTCAAAGAGTTTATAAATAGTAATATCGAAGATGAATTTTATTTAACTTGCTATGGAAAATATTTCATGAAAGCACTTATTAAATTTAAAGATGATAAATTGATTCGATCTTTAGGCCAGAGATGTGTGAATAAGTGTGTGCATGATAATAATCATTTGATTTCTAAGATTTCTTTGTTGAGTATTGTTTTTGAAAACTTTAAAGAATTATCAGAAATTCATCCTACATTTATAGCAAGTATTTTATCCGTTATAGGATTTGTAGTTCCTTCTACTACCGTGAATAAAAACTCTACTTCTTCACACCTTTCCAGTTATGGGAGATACTGTCAATTATCTAAAACATGGTATCTTGATTTATTAATTTCTAGTCTTTGGGTTCGTTGGAATAGTTTTTTCCAAAAAGACCAAAAACATTTTCTAAATTTTCAAAATACTCATTATTCAATAATACTTGCAATTCCTCTACCAAACTTTGTTTCTTATCCAAAAAAATATAATTTTTGGAAAGAATTATTGTTACCTAGTAAAAATTCTTTTACACATTCAAATAATCTTGGAGTGGTTACTGAAGAATTTTATAGATATCTAAGTGGAGAGGCATTACTCGAATTCAAATGGAATAATTATGGAAGAAAATATTATTTGGCAATTTGGGCAGTTTATACTATTTTTCTTGGAAGTTTCATAATTGCTGCGATGAATTATAAAAGTATTTCTCAGACTAGTCTATCTATTCTCTTACATATAACTATTTTCCTTGGGATTTTCCATTTATTTTTTGAATTACGTCAATTTATATTTGATCCGTTAACTTATATGTCTAGCTCTTGGAATTTTTTGGGTAAGTTCTTTTTTTTATTTAAAATGTCTATTAAGATATGCGCATGCACAATTTACTATTTAATTTAATAGATCTTGCTGCCATAATTTCTACTACTGCAACTTCGAATAATTGGCTAAAAAGTGGATCTCCTCCAATTTGGGCTATCACATTTTCAACTTTATTCCTCGAGATAAAATTTATTCTTTTTTTTCGTTATACTAAATTTTTTGGAATCTATCTTGCTATGATTATGAAAACTGCAGACAAAGTAATATCTTTCGTAATAATATTTGGACTTTTTATACTTGCATTTGCACATTCATTACACCTCTTGTTAGGATCAGAGTCTGAAATATCTCAAGGTATTTTTTATGTAAATTGGTTTTTTATTAATCTTATTATAAATATGCGTATTAAGCTATTTCATTATTATTTCTTTTTTTTTTAGATTCAAATATAAATATGTTCGCGCAATTTGGTTCAGCAATTATTGCGTCTTATTATATGATGATTACAGGTACATTATAGTTCATCAATATTTATTATTATAAACCTATTTAAAATATTATTTATTATAATTTTTTAGGAGACTCGACTCCTATTTCATCATGGATTTCAGATGAAAATATTATTATAATGTTTTTAATGATTATAGTTTCATTTTTTATGCTTATTTATCTGATGAATTTATTTATTGGAATCCTTAGTAATTTAATT